AAACTCATCAGGAACACTTGGAGATGCATGAATTAAGTAAAATACAACTTTTTGTCTGATTCAAATACAGGAAGAGCATTATGATATACTTAAAAGCTAAAAATGTAGATTTTGCATTCTACAGACCCTTTAAACTTCTCAATGACCGATCTTTAGTACATAAACTAAACAGGAAAAAGAATTTGATACTGTAAACACAACAAAACACACCTAAAGACACCTAAACTTAAAAGTGTGGAGAGCTACCCCTCTTAAATGGAAGCTTTTTGGGTGGGTCTTTCAGTGACATGTTGTTTTCTATTACATGAATGTGTCTGGCCAGTTTTAGGTCATAGGCGCTACTATACCCTGGACTCTGAGGCCCTGACCTTCATGGAGGACATAGCCAGGGTCTGCAACATGTTTATGTATTTTCAGCGCTAAAGATGCATAGTTCATACTGATATATTTAAAGAAATTCCATTAATCTGTATAAGTTTGTCCCATATCACCAAGCCTGAGATCAGTTTGTGTTTTGGAAAATCATCATCTTAATGTGTTGACCTTGATATTTCAGCCCCATTTCCTGTTAGAAACAGCAACAACAGCACAGACCATTAACTGTACAGAAAACAATGTGAAGGGATACTTTGATCAGTACACACAAAGAAAAAGGAGGCATCCACACCTCAGCCGCCTCTAATAAGCTGCAGGTTAAGTTGGTTTGAGAAACACTTTATTATGTCTGCCCCTCCTCATCCTCAGCCTTATCCTCCTGTCTGAAGTAACATAAGATATGTCACTCACACCTCTATCTACATTTTCTTTTGAAATGGAATAGAATGAGATAGAACTGTGTTATGAATTGTAGGAATCTAAACTATCAGCCCATGGAGATTGGATGATTTAAAGAAATGTGATGAATTCAGCTGGAACATAAAGGCCTCCTGTTTGGCTCAATTTCTTTCCACAAGTCAGTTTAGTGCTTCAGGAGCTGCTGCCATGTTTTATAACTAACATTACACTAAAAATAATAATAATAAAAAAATATTCTGTGTATGTAAAGGCTTTTCATTTAAGCATCATTTTAGTGGGAGGAGTTCTTTCCAATGGCCTTATTTTAACCATGGAAGTGGGACCATCCTTTATAGTTTATACAAATAAAAAAACACATGCAGGTTTATTTTAGTCTCTATGGGAAACTATCTTCCTGCTCAACTGTTTTAAGTTGATCATATAAAGGAAACCTTTAACACGTCTCATCCTGCATTTTCACGTTAAACCAGCATCAGCAGAGTTTCAAAGGAATCAATCAGATATAAGAGATTAACCTCCGCCTGCCTCAGTGGTTCCTATGGATGGTATATATATTAACAAATCTTAATAAAAATATGAATAAAATATTACTATACCCTCAAATCCCATCAAACTAAATTGTCCCCCCCCCCAAAATATTTGTATTTACTTTACAATTCACTTTATAACTGAGTACAGTGTTTAACACAATAAAGAACAACTCTTATAATAGAAAAAAAAGAGACAAAACAAAACAGTTTAAACCTTCAAAGTTCAGAAAAAATATGTCAATATGTTGCAGTGAGACAGTTTACTGTCAACCTCTGAGGTGGAATGGAAGAGCTAAACATGTGGAAACAATTATTAGCACCCCTCACTTAATGAAAGAATAAACAACAATGGTTAGAGACAAAAAAAATAATTAATATCAATGCAGTTGCTTTTCAAATATGCTTTAATACAATTATTTAAAAAAAATAAACTTATGAAACAGCTGTTTGCTGACATGGTGCGTACCACACTCAACATGGACCAGAGGAAGAGAAGAAAAGAATTCTCTCAGGAGATTAGTAATAAAATGATAGACAAGAATGTTAAAGGTAAAAGCTAACAGTTGTTCAGAACTTTAACATCCATGGGACTGCAGCCATCCTCCCTGGATGCGGCCATAGGAAGAAAATCGATGACAAATCAAAGAGGCGGATAATATCAATGCTAAGAAATGAGTCCAGAAAAACTTTTACAGAGATTATAGGTGAACTTCAAGCTAAAGCAACATTGGTGTTGCATCATCTGTCATTGCCAGTGTGAATTGTCAGTCATCCGGGTCATGGTAACCACAAACAGTCAAAAACAGGCTTAGATTGAAGGCTGAATACTGTTGCCTTCTCAAACAATGGCATATGCTATAGTGAACTTAATGTAAGATGACCAAGGTGGACATCATTGTTAAAAACAGACTACATGTTGGCAAGTCACAAAACTTGAGAATGTCCTTTGGACAGATGAGACAAAAATGGAACCTTTTATCAAAGCATACCAGCTCTTTGGTCATAGATGGAAAAATTAAGCATATCAAGGGAAGAACACCATCCCTACTGTGAAATATGGATGAGACTCTGTTATGTTCTTAGGCTGCTTTGCTGCATCTGTCCCAGGGGGTCTGAGTCTCTGTAGGGTCCAATAAAAGCTCCAGACTATCAAAGGATTATATTAGGTGTGGAACGGTTCACAAAATCCACGGTTCGGTTCGTTTCACGGTTTCGTGGTCACGGTTTTCGGTTCGGTATATGTTGATTGTTAGCCTGACATGTTGGTGGTGTTGCTGTTAGCATAAACAAAACGTGTTGCACAATGCTTGCACACTGTTGCAGTTTTATCCACAACTTTCTTTCCGCCGTCATCATAGGTCACTCTAAATGCAAAGTGGTCCCATACAGCAGACCTATAAAGTGCTGCTGGCGCGTCTTCCAACTCCTGTTCTTTCCCACTCGCCATACCCACACAATTCTCCACAACAACTGATTTTTTTCTGCTACACCCGGCTAAGATGCTTCGCTTCTTCTTCTTGTTTACTACTGGTGGTTGGCTTTGATCGCAGTACCGCCACCTTCTGCTCTGGAGTGTACATGCTTCGCCTATGAGAAAAAGGAGCAGCGAATGAACCGAACGCAACACACGCGAATCGAACCGAGACAGTCGAACCGAACAGTTCGGACGGTTTTTAAAAACCGGTCCATCCCTAGATTATATTAAGAGTGTAACTCCATACCTTAAGAGCTACTGTGGTGAGACATTTGGATACATCTCTGCTCCAACACACCTGAAATAAGGCTAAATTAGTTGGTCATTAAGTTTTGTGAAGGTCTGGTTTTTAACCGATTATATGTTGAAGACAGGATAGATCTTAAAGGACAGGACAGGGGCCCTCAGGGACAGGAGTTAAAGACCTTTGCTTTAAACTTACCTTTAAATTTGAAGATGACTGAAATCATCACAGGTGTTACAGTTTTTTTTCTCTTAAAAACCAAATGGATGAAGAAGGTTCCTGTCATTCCAGACCAACCCACATGAAGGAACTCGTGGTCATCACTTGATGTCTGCTGTGAATCTCGTGCTCGTAGAAATCCGGACGTCACTGTCAGTGTGGCATTCAGGTTAAATGATAATGGTTCATTCCTGTAAT